TAACCCTGATGCCCGGTGTATTAATTAGGGAGTTGGAGCTCCAAGCCCCAGAAAATGCCAACCTAACTAGCTGAAACAATAAAGGGGTTTATTGCATCTCTCATAATAAGACACAGAAAGCTAGAGCGGTTCCAGGGATGTAGGCTTAACCGTGTCAACAAGAAACCCCTTTCTTTCTTTTCTTCTCTGCCAATCTTAGCATATTAGTTTCTTCTTTGGATTTGGGCTCTCTCATCTGGTGACTACAAAATGGCTGCAGCAAATCCAGGCATAATATCCTCATACAACAGTGATTAGAAGGAGAAAGATACCTGCTCCTCTTTGGGCCTCTCTTGAAAATGGAGGAAAACTACTGGTAGAAGCTTCTAGAAATTTCCTCTCACAACTCATCATATCATATGACCGTGCTTGAGTCAGTCACTCCCAAGGGAATTAAGATTATCATGAGTAGCTTAAACCAATCAGGATCTCCCCTAGAACTGAGGAGGGAGAAGTGGACACTGGAACAAAATGAAGGTTCATTCTGCAGGGAAAGAGAGTAAAGTAAATATTAGCAAGGATACTAGCAATATCAGCTCCGACGCTGTTTGATAGTGAATTTCAGGGAAGCTAAATCACTTAAAGTCCCTCAGCTAATCAAGATAGAAGGAGGATTTCGGACACCTGCGTGGCTCAGTCGGTTAAGCGTCCGACTTCAGCTCAGGTCATGATCTCGCAGTTCGTGGGTTCCAGTCCCACATCAGGCTCTGTGCTGACAACCTGGAGCCTGCTTTGCATTCTGTGTCCTTCTCTCTTTCTGCTTGCTCTGTCTCTGTTTCTCAAAAATGAATTTAAAAAAACTTAAAAAAAATAGAAGTAGGATTCAAATCCTGCTCTTTGAAACTCCAAAGCCCATCCTTGCCCTTTTTCAGCTGCCTGACTGGACCCAGTGAGAGAGCCTGCATTTCCTGGAAAAGCCAGAGCCCCCTTTCTGATGGTGAGCGCTTCAGGAGTTGAAGCAATCACCCTGCTTTCCCAAGCTCGACCTTCAGCTGGGCATTTAATCTGTTTATTAAGTTATGACTAATGGCGCCGCGAGACACGGAGGGCTGCACACTCAGACCTAGTTTTAGATTGTTAGGAGAGGTTCAAGGGATAAACATCATATTCATATTCTGTGCCGAGAAAATTCAATTGCAGCTCTTTTCTCTTTCAGAGTGCAGGGATTGGCGAGGGGCTTCTGCTGGGCCCTGCTTTGGTTTAATAGAAACGAAGCCTCCATAGCAGGCGGGCTGCTTTGGGAAAGTGGCCACTAATGCGGCCCCATGGGGCGGGGGCCAGGCCTGAACGGGGCAGTTTGCATATTCACTTTTACAAACAGTTGGCTCAGAGTCAGCAGTTAATGGGATGGGAATGATGTTCCAGTACCAAATCATTTCCTGCAAAAAAAAAAAAAAAAAAACATTTCCAACTGCAAACATATCTCAGCCTTTCTTGTAGGGTTTGTTATGTCTCTGTGAGCAATTCACATAGAGCCAGGGCAGAGGGGAGTGTTTCGGACTGGGGATTGTTCATCTGAAAACATTTTTTTGATGTCCGCGTCAAAAAAGACCCACCTTGAGGCATCCCTGACACAAATATTACATTCCTAGTTGCATTTTAGAGGTGTAAATATCCCTATATTCACAAATCAGCTCTGGCCGTACAGCACTCTTGGAACAGATGTGGCTTTTCTCTCCTTAGAAAATATAAGCACCCACATATGCACACACATGTGCACACAGAATCAGGCCAATATATATATATAGTCGGTTAAGCATCGGTTAAGCAGTTGAACGGTGGTCTTAACAGTTTTGGTTTATTCGTTTACTCAACAAACAGTTCTTGGGGCGCCTGGGTGGCTTAGTCGGTTAAGCGTCCGACTTTCGCTTAGGTCATGATCTCGCGGTTCGTGGGTTCGAGCCCCGCGTCGGGCTCTGTGCTGACTGCCAGCTCAGAGCCTGGAGCCTGTTTCAGTCTGTGTCTCCCTCTCTCTCTGCCCCTCCCCTGCTCATGCTGTCTCTCTCTCTCTCTCAGAAATAAATAAAAAATATTTAAAAAAAAAAAAAAACAGTTCTTGAGGGCTTACTCTGCATGAGGTATTGTCTTAAGTAATAATAATAGCCTAATAGCATGTATTTACGCACTTATTACCAAGTACCAGGCATTCTTCTGACTGCTTAAACTTATTTAACCATCTCAACAAGCCTAGGAGGTAGGTAATATTATCACTCCCAGTTTGCAGATGGGAAAACTGAGGTACAGGAGGTTAATGGACTTGCCCAAGGTCACAGAGCTAGTAGATCGTGGATTTGAACCTAGGCACTCTGGCTCCTCTTTGGGGATCTAACAGTGAACAAAAGGGAAAAAGTGCCAGTCTTCCCACAGTTTACTGTCTGGTGGGGGGGTGAGGGGGTGGGGTGGAGGACAGACAACAGACATATGAATAATTACTATTTCAGATTGTGATGAGTGCTCTGAAAAAATAAAACATGAGAGGGAGGCTGGGAGCTAATCAGAGGGCCTTGTAGGTGTTAGTAAGGAGTCAGAGCCTTAGTATGATAGGAAGCCAAGGGAGGGCTTAAAGCAGAAGAATGTATGATGCTATTTACATCTTTATAGATCATTCTGACTGTGATATGGGAAGTAGACAGAAGTGGGGAAAACGTGTCAGAGAGCAGTAGACCGGTTAGAAGGTGCTTCTGGTTGGCCAGGTGAAAGCCACTGGGGCCTGAACCAGGATGGGGTGGCGGAGATGGTGAGAAGCGGGTGGCATTGGATCCTGGCATAGAGGTAGAGCCCATAAAACTTGCGAACATATTCAATGCAAAGCACGAGCAAGGAAGAGAAGTTAAGGGTGATTTTTCTGGATATTGGCTTAAACCATTGTATAAGTGGTGGTGCGATTTACTGAAGACGAGAACAAGGGAGTTGAGAGTCTTGTTTTAGGGTGGTTATGGTGGAAGTGAGGGTGTTGCCATTCATTCTGTTTGGGATGTATACATTTGAGGTCTCTATTAATAGACAAAAGAGGAGACATCAAGTAAGCCTGGAATTCAGGGTCAGGCCCATTCTGGAGATTTAAATGTGGACATCACCAGCATTTGGATCCATGGGGTCAACTAAGATAACACCATCCAGTTGACTTTCCTGTAATGATGAAAAGCTACATCTGCGGTGTCCAGCCCAGCAGGTAGCCACTAGCTAGACACGTGTGCAGACAACTAAGAAACTGAAGTTTTCATTCATTTAAATGTGAGTATCCACATGTGGCTGGGACAGTGCACTGACAGTGCAGACCTGGGGAACAAGGTAGGTAGAGAGGCTCTGGGCAGGAGCTAGTGTCTTCACTGGCCAGGACGCCCAGACTTGCTCCCCCCATTTAAGCATGACTCAACTTCCACTGCCCACTGCTTGCACAACAGTGCGTGTTCAGTAGCGGAGATCTTGCTTCTGGGTGAGAAACAGCCTAGAAAAGAAAACAAACTACTAGTCTTAGGAGGACTATTAGAAGAAACTATAGGAGTCTAATGAAATTACAGGAGGCCATTGTTTTTCATAGAAAGCCAATGCAATCCTATACTGATTAGAATCATTTTAGCCTTGAAGGTGTGGCTTCTATTTTTCATTTCTGTTCTATGGGGGGTGATTATACAGAGTGGTGGGTGTCTGAATTTGCAGATGCAAGACGGTGACTGGCTGATAGCCCGTATGAATGTCAAGAGCCCACAGCGACGGGAATAAATACCAGCTTCATAATGCAAGTTGTGTCTCTTTAGGGTAGAGTGTGTTTCAGGCTCTTTGTTAGGCAATCTCGTTCCCCGTCCAACTGCAAACATCAGTGAGTTTGCTAATGTGAAAGAACTCTTTGTAAGTGGCTGCCTTGTGCTGAAGAGTTCTTGCAAGTATATGCTGGCAGTCAGGGAGGCCAGAGTCAATAAAAAAAATAATAAACTGGAAAGATGGGACATTGCTTTTATTAAGGTTGATTGCAGCTGCCATATTAGCTCTTTGAGAGCCTTTTGGTGACCAACGCTTTCAGAGAAAATGGTCTTTCTGTGCTTAATTGGTAACAAGGAATTATCCAAACTGGCACTGAACAGGGGTGAGGATATTGAAGGCACTGATTTTAGGGGGAGGGTTATCCAAGGTCAGTGCTCAGCAAGTGTCCATCACGCAGTAGTTTTGTGGTAGGAATTTGTTTTTCACTAAGGCTTCCTTTGGGGAGTGGGTACATGGAGGGCAGCAGGCTGGAAGTCTTTCACGGTCATTGACCTCTTGGTTTTCCCTGAGGAAAGAGGAATTGTAGGTTTCTAGGACTTGAAAACTGTAAAAGGACTCACTGGCCATCCATCCAGTCGAGCTCTTGATGTCAGGGGAGGAAACGGGCCTAGGAGCAGAGGTGCCTGGCCCCAGGCTCCCCTACTCATTAGAGCTGAAGAGACAGGACTAGAGCCCAGAAGGAGGCTGGCCTGAGGCATTCTCGAGCAGTGGCTGGGGAGGGGTGGAGTTAAGAGGCAGGATAATCAGAAGAATACTTAGGGAACCCAAACAAATAAGGAGAGAAGTTGGCTAGAAATGGCTAACAACATTGATGTAGACTTGGTGACCTCAGTGCCTACTGTGCAGCAGACAGCGAGCCCTTGAAGGAGGGCTGGGCAGGGGGTGACAGGCAGAGACCTAAGGAAAACCTCAGTGCCCACCTCACTTCCGTGTTCCCTGAGATAGTGCCTGGGAACAGAGGCCTCCCTCTTTCCCTGAGGAAAGTGAGTGAGGTGATAGTTGGAAGAGGGGACGTGCAGGGAACAACTCGGTCCTCCCAGCGAGGAGAGGCAGGGAATCTATCGCAGACTAAGACTGAGTAAGAGCTGTAACCTAACCTTGGTGGTTTTATTAATATAATTCTCAAACGCCAGGTGCTTTGGAGCTCCTCCCTGTCATCGCTGGGCTGCAGTGTGACTCTGCCTTTCTTCTCTTCACAGTATCAGAGCTTCAGGAGGAGGGCATGAATGCCATCAACCTGCCCCTGAGCCCGATCCCCTTTGAGCTAGACCCGGAGGACACCATGCTGGGTAACTGGGTCTCTTGTTCTCTGGGTTAGCCTAACGCCTCCAAGTAGAGCCACCCCACTGACTCTTTTTTTTTTTTTTTTTTTAAGAGGAGAACGAAGTGCGAACCATGGTGGACCCCAACTCCCGCAGCGACCCCAAATTGCAGGAACTGATGAAGGTAAGAAGAAATCAGGAGGGGCCTTAGCTCCCTCTCAGACTCAGCCGGTATCTGTAGACCACTGGCTGTAGGCAGGCACGTGCCCCAGCGGAGGAAATAGAAAGTCACAGGCAGCTCACAGTTCTCAAGGTAGACATCTCCAATTTAACAAAAATGGGACAAGGCCGCCACCCTACAAATAGCGTCGATCGTAAGTGCCGGAGAAGTTAGTGCGCAGGAGCTCACGTTTGCCAGGATCTTAAAGTTCACACAGTTTTTCCACTGCTTTCTTTCGTCAAGGACCCTCAACAACACCCTGTAAAGCAGGACTTCTTATCATCCTCATTTATAGAAAAGAAAGGGGAGCCTTCAAAAAGCCAGTGGTTTGTTTATGGTCAAAGCTGAGTAGAGGAGATGGAATTCCAACAGAAGTAAATAAGCTCAAATATTGTACATTGTGCCTGGCACAGGGGCTGGCTTGTGGCCACCCCCTGAAAAGTGTTCATTTCATCCCCCTTTGCATTCCCCATCCTGTGTTTTTCCAAGCTGAATCAAAACAGGACAAAAAGACACTGGATGCCAGAGTGGTTCGTAAATCAGATCTATCATTTTCCTGCTCCAAACCTCTGTATAGATTCCTCTCAGCTGAAGGCTGAAGCCCATGCTCCTGGGGTTGGTATTCGGGGTCCCGTGCTCTAGCTTCCTCTGCAGCCTCAGATTGTCCCCTTAGAGTCACCACGTGAAGACCCCTTACTGCTACTCAGACACTTCTCTGTCTTCGTCACTAAATGGTGAGCTTCTGAGGGTTCGAGAACCACCCCCCCTTTTTTTTCATCATTGTACCCACAGGATCCAGCACAGAAAGTGACTTGGAGCAGATGTTCATAAATGCTGGGGGGTTGGGGGTTCTGGAGGATGGGAGGGGAGGGGAGAAGAGGGAAGCTCCTACTCTAGGGCAGTAGAACAATGTGCCTTGAAGACCCCGAGCTCCGCCCACATATGCAAACCCAGCCCAGCTACTACCCCTGTTATAAAGGCAGTCTGTTGATGCTGGGTCTAACACAAAAGGTGATGTTCCCTCTGGCTCCATTTATTACCAAATTGTGGTAGTTGTGAGGCCTGTCCTGTGCGGGCGTGGAGAGAGGGGGAAGATGAGCACAAAGAGCCCAAAGGAACCTTCTTGCAGCGAGGGAGTTGCTTTTTACCTTGATTGGGGTGGTGGTTACACAACAGTGTACAATGACCCAAACTCAACAAACTATATTTAAAACCAGTTAATGTTACTGTACATAAATACCACCCTAAAGAAATGAGCTGAAAAAATGTAAGACAAAAGGCAGGGGCCTCGAGCAAGCTGCAGTTTCCTTACCTGAACAATGAAGTGAACAAGCCCTCCCTCTAAGAGGTGTTGAGAAGATTAACTAAACGACCTACCACACACAGTGCCCCCACTCAGTGCCTGATGCCGAGGGCACACAGGCAATGGCAGCTGCAGAGAGCACGACGGGAGAGGAGACTGCATTGGCCCAGAGAGAGACACCTTGGGGATAAGAGGAGAGCAGTACCTTAGAGTGCTGACGGACGAGAGTTCAATTCCTGTCTCTGTCCATGGTTGGCAACGTGACCTTGGCAAATAGGTTCACTTCTGTGTTTGCTTTCCCCTCCTGAACAGAGGTGAAAGTACCCACCTGCCTAGATGTCCTAATCGGGGAGAGCTTTATTTATTAATGAACATTTGGTCCTTGCCGTATGTGATTCTTTTCTGCTGCCTAAAGCAGGAAGGATTTTCCTCCTCCGTTTTACATATGGGGACTCAGAGCAGAAACTAGCCTGCCTTAGATTCATAGGTCACAGAGGTACACACACACAGACGTCCATGGATCACAGAGGTGCACAGACCCACAGGCACAGGTCCATACATCCCAGAGCTATACAAATCAGCTGATGGGTAACTAACCCCAGTTTGTATAACTCTAAAGCCCATCTCCTTGCCTGGTGTGAGCTACACACCCAAACACTGTATAAATGTAGCTTGCTATTGGGGTAAGGAATGGTAAGGGGCCAGAAGATATTAGCACGGTGACACGGGTGCCACCAACACTAGAAGCCACTAGGGCTCACACAGCCTTGTGTCCACATTCTGAGCCACCAAGATGCATTCTGCTGCCTTCAAAATCAGAAGTTCATCTAGATTTTAATCTTCCAGGATAGGAAAGCTGGCCTATGAATCTTCTCTTTCTCCCTCTCTCTCTGTAGGTACTAATCGACTGGATTAATGATGTGCTTGTTGGAGAGAGAATCATCGTGAAAGACCTGGCTGAAGATCTGTATGACGGACAAGTCCTGCAGAAGCTCTTTGGTGAGAAGGGGTTTGAATGGTGCGGTGGACATACTCACTCTGCAGCTGGATGGCTCCCAGGCTCCTAGTTCAGAGTGGTTCTTGGCTTACAGCACTTCATGCGCAGTGGACTATGCAAGTGTGGCGTGTGGGCTGACAGACCGGTGGAGCCTTTGGATGGCCTCCTAGAATGTGTTTCACGTGCATGACTTGCAGAGGGAATTGATGGGCCGGAAGGGGCTGCGCCCCTAGCAGTTGAAGAGCATCAGCTGGGTTGATGACAAGACTCCACTGTATACTAGAAAACATGCCTTACCCTTTCCGGGAAATCATGCACGTGTGACCTCTGTAGGTATAGTTACGTGTGTGTGAGGGTAAGCGTGTGTATGTATACCCCTGTCACCTATGGGTGTGGGGGTGTGTGCATGTATGTTTACCTGTGTGTGTTCCTCCGTGTACCTCTAAGTCAGGTGCAAAAACGTGGAAGCCTTTTCCTCTGTGGTGTTCGCCTCTGCATGCCTAGGGAAGGTGTGTTCTTGTGGAAACAGGCCTCCAGGGAGGGAAAGGAGGATTGAGGGGTGACCTAGCATTGAAATGACAAAATTCAGCTTGAAAGAATTTGGACTTTTCCTCAGCTGTTCCCCGTGTTCTCTCATCCAAACCTCTGCCCCGAGTTCTAGGCTTTCATTCTTTGCCGCTCACTCAGCACCTCCACCTGCAGGCCCCTCGGGCCGAGCTCGTCCACATTTCCAAAGGTGTTTCTTGCCCTCTGGGTTAACCATCCCCCCCCTCTTCCTCACCACCCACGCATATGTGGGGGGCCTCCAGGGCTCGTTTCTTCTGGCTCACGTGGGTGGTCGTCTGCCTCCACCCTCCCTGCCATTGTCACCTGTCTGAGCTATTAAGACAGCCTCTGACCTCACCTCCGTTCCGCCCCTCTCTCTGCGTCCAACCCATTCCCAGGCCGCCAGCCAAGGGGCCTTCTCAAGCTGCGCTCTAGGCTTGCTGTCTTTTCAGCCTCAGTGTTCGTCTTTGTCTCTAGGGTCCGTAGAACGCGCCTGCCTCTTGCACCTCCGACAACACCATCACACCTAGAAGTGATTGCCATGCGCCCTTCTGTGTTCCCCCAGATATACACACACCCCTTTGTGACACGACATTCCAAGTTGGCTGTGGCTGTTCATGGAAATGTCTGTGGGCTTCCAAGAGCAGGAACACCATATTCTTCTCCAGGTCCAGCAGTTTGCCGACCGCACGTTGCCTGGCACTTGATCACTCTGTATTGAGTGAATGAATGATAACATCTAGTTATTTCTAGGAAGCTACACTGATTTGGTACTCAAACAGCAATATTAATGAGTGTTCATATTTAAAGGCTTGTAAATGCAACTGAATGTGGAGAGGAAAAGGCTTTGGCACATGTCCACATGGAAAAGCCATGAGCCTCACCGGGCATCTTTAGTGACTGCAGCTTTTAACTCCTCCAGCAGATTTCTGGTCAGGATCTGAAAGGGTCTCAAAATGCTCTATGTACTGGGCTTTGAAGGCAAGGGTGGAATGTGGCCATGGAGTGATGGAATGTGGTCATCAGGTCACCTTGCCTCTGCGCATGGGGACAGAACTGCCCAACATCACACCCGTGTAGCCTTGAGTCGGGGCACAGTCACATTAGGTTCATTTCAGATTTCATCCTTTGTGTTGAAAAGGTGATGCTGCTCTTGTCCATCTAAGTTCAGACCATTTGTAGGTAGATGGGGACACACGTGAAAAGGTTCAGGCAGGATACCCAGGTGGAGAGAACCAGTTTGAAGGTAAAAATATGCATCAGGAGCTCCTGGGAGGACTCAGTCCAGAGACAGTAAAATAGAGGGGAAGGCGTGGTTGGAGTCTATCTTCCTCTTTCCCAGCAACATTCCTCAAAAGAATACTTGGCACTGTATCTGCTTCCTCACCACAAATCATTCCCCTCGGAGATACCCCTCTGGGTATCACCCCCATCTTTCTACCAGCTTTCCCTTCTGAGGTCACCACTGTCAATTCTGACATCTCCTATGCCGGGGCATCTGCCTCTAACTACCAAATGTCTTGTCCCCCTTCCCCAGCCCAGTGGTCTCTGGGATTTCATGCCACTTCCAACACACCCCCTCTTCCCTGTCTTCTTCATACGCTTTCATTCTACCTAGGAACCACCCTGCTCCAAACCGATCTGATCTTCCTCCTCCCCTAGCAAAGCCATTCTGCCTTCCAGCAGAATGGATGGTGTTACCACCACTGAGCCAGTTGCTCAAATCAGAAACCTAGAAGTGACTCTCTGTACTCCGCTAAGCAATGTGTCAAGCCACCTCATTTCTCAACCAGGTAGTATGTGCAAAGCACTTGGAAAGTGCTGGCTCCCCATGTGCTAGGTTGCTGGCACTTTCTCCACAATTTTCCAGCCCCTAGATTTACAGTATTGTTGCAGAAAGGATGCAGAGTTCCTGACCCCCTGGCCCAGCTCCCTCTAACGCTAGCATCTTACCTGACCATGGTACAGGTCTCAGTCCCATACTTAACGAACTTTACAGAATTTATTGGGATTTTACTAGTTTTTTTAAATGAATGTCTTTTTCAATTCTAGAATCTAATCTGGGATTGCACACTGTACTCAATTGTATCATGTCCCCTCCAAACTATTGACTGTCTTTTCTGTCTTTCATGACCTTGACACTTGTGAAAGGGCTGATTAGTTATTGTGTAGAATGGCCCCTAACTTAGGTTTGTCTGATGTTCTCTGATTATTAGATTAAGGTTATAATGACGGGTCCTTCTAGGTGTGTTGTACCCAGGAGTCCATGATGTTAGGATCACTTGGTGAAGGCGGTGTCTGTCAGATTTCTTCACTGTGAGGTTACTCTTTTTCTCTTTACGATTCATTTGTTGGGCGGGGGGGGGGGGGGGGATAATTTAAGATTATGGAACTATCTTGTTTCTCCTTACGTGTTTCCCACTGATTTTAATCACTGGATCATATCTGCCAAACTTATTACTGCAGTGGTCTAGTGGAGATTTTCTTCATTTCTACATTTATTAATTGGAATCCTTCTGTAAGGAAAAGTTCCCCTTGTTCCCCATTTACTTACTTATTCAGCATTTATATCATTATGGACCCAAGGATACTTACTTTATACTTTAGGTTATAATCCAATACTGTCATTGTTCTTTATTATTATTATTATTATTATTATTTTGCTCATATACCTCCAACTTTGACCATTTTGACCATTGGGAGCTTTTTCACGTTGGGTCTTGGACACTTTTTTTTGTTCTTAGCATGTCCTCACTTTCTGGCATCATAAGATGTTCCAGACTCCTCTTATGTTTTACTGTCTCTGACCCTGGAAGCAGCCATTTCTCCGTGGAGCTTGGGTTTTTTTAAATTAGAAAATGGTATTTAGAAATCAATATATGGGCACCTTAGAGAGTGTTTTTAACCTGCTATCCATAGCACACATAAACATTGATATAGGACTATGACGTGGGGGTACTAACATGATCATTTCTAGAACTCTGTTTGCAGATTGGGCTAGCATGGAGAGCAGGAGGGGGGTGAGGTTGGGATTAGTAAACTCACTATGAAACACTGGTACTTAGAAGATGGAAATGCCACAGGGACCTCAAGGAGTCTGGATGTGCCGAGTTGCACCTAGGGAGCAGGAAATGTGTCTGGAATTCAGGAAAACAAGGTTGATGAGACCATGGGGCAAGGACTCAGAACCTGGAAGTGAACAAGGTGTGGAAGCAAGAATCTCTCAGCAAAAGGCTGTGTGTGTTTTAGGGTCATGGTGAAAGCCTGAATGGGTGAGCATCCCCAAGAGGACAGGTCGACTCTGCCGAGCAGCACTGGTTGGCTGTTCTCTGATCACAAACCCCGTGAAGGCAGTGTCCCACCTGGGTCTCCTTTGTGCAGCTAGATACTACTTGCTCGACCGCACTGGGGCTGCTTTAAGACCCCGTGCATGTCTGGGAGGTTCTCCTGACATACCTTCCCCCAGTCCTTTTTTCTGAGCTGTCTAACCCAGCTGCCTCTGTTCCCAGGGTCTTCCCCCTTGACCTGACAGCAGTTCTGAGTTCAGGTTTTCCTGAAGGCAGATGCTGAGACAAGGACTTGGGTGGAGGACGTTCATATGAGAGGTGATCTTAGAAAGTAAATAATCAAGTGGGGAATGTAAGAGAGCAAGAGAAAGGCCAGTGATGTTAATATGGATGGCAGCTCCGTTTGCAACCAGGGTTCAGTTCCGCAGGGTTCCTTCTGAGAAACACTTCAAGTCATCCTCCCCAGGACAGGAAGGCAGAGGCATTTATCCTATGCCTCCCATCCCCCTGTGGTTGAGGAGTGCCTATGTAAGAATTAAGGGCTAGGTTGTACTTCTGATCGAGAAGCTCTTGTGCAGAGAAGAAGAGCTTCAGGGCTGGAAACGGAAGCCATGGTGTGCTGGGCACCATTTGCAGGTAAGCCAGGGAGCTCCAGGAAGGGACCTCCACATCATCCAGGAAAATGAGAAGGTACTATTTCTGCCTTAGGGGCTGCTCCTCCTGAATGCCCTTGGTATTGCTGCCAGCAAAAAATCAGATGCTGGCCACTGGGGCCTGCCTCTTTATGATGCCACCCCCATCTCCTCAACAGCGACAGCTCCAGACCTTTCCACACCTCAGACAAAAGCTTGCTGTATTTGCATCCTCAACACCTAGGCAAGAGATACCACCAAGAGAGGCAGGAGATAAAGGATTCTAGAAAAATGCCTGCACAAGATAATCATTTCAGGCGAACATAAGCTTTCCTGATTTAGGATAGCTCTGTGAGTTTCCTTAGGATATGTTTTAGTTAACTGATTCTTTTCTTTATCTTTAAACATGTGCATGTACTCACCTGTTTTGAGGGATAAAAGTCATAAGGCTCTTTCTTCTAGTGTTTACAATCGAATATGCCTGAAACAGGAGGAGACTGAGAAAGCTCCCTTGGGCATAAAGATTCTGCAAGAGGG